ATCGCGGCCCCGATTGGTCAAAGTTGAATTCAGTCGGATTCATAAGGGTTGCAGTGTCCATCGGTGCTTCCGTGTCGCAGAATTCAAGTTTGAACGCCTTCGCTGGCGTCGCCAGCGCACCATCGCCGCACGAACCCCCCGTATGCATGTTAAAATGAGCTTCCAAAAGACCCACTGAATCACACCTCAAATCTGTAATTTGTCGGTACTCCAGTCAGCGGTGTGAATGACTGCGACTCCAGCCGCTCGCGCTGCCGCTGCTGCCCGTGCTGCTTGCGCCTCCACCTGGGCGCTCGGCTCGCCAAGCCATCTGTCCCGCTCCAAGAACCCCTCGACAGTCGTAATTAGTCGAGCTCTTGCCTCCCCGCCCGAAGATTGCAGGAACACGGGGGGGGGGGGGGGCAGACATGCGGAGACTGTTAGCTCTGGGGAGTGCGCTGCGATATTTCGGGGTGAGACGAGGCGAGGGTTGAGGGTCCTCGGGGGCCACGTCGGATGGGGTCGAGCCCCAAAACATGTTTAAACAACTGTCCAACCGTCCCACGCCGAACCTTACTCAAAACAACGTCATCCACCGTGAATGCTTTACGCCTCTAAACTCGTGGCCAGCCAAGCCGTCACGGCACACTTACAGGCATGTGTCAGGACCATGCAACATTGCATGGGCAATGCCTTGTGGAAGCTGCGTCGGGGCGCGAAACAAGAGAGCACAATGCCCTCCCAAGGATGTGATACTCTTAGACTGTATCGATGAGGAGAGGGGTGAACGGGGGCAAACACAACATACCGACACACTGTTCCTGCCACGCAAGTGTTCACAACCCGCCCGCCCGTCCCCTACTGCCCTTTACCTTGCCCTGCTCACGCTCCCAGCTCGTGCAGTGCCGTGCGCTGGCGGGAGCCCCAATCGCGTCTCACCACGCACATCGTGCCACCATGGAGAAGGCTGAACAAGGAACGAAGGAGCAGCCCGAAAACCATGGGCCCCTCTGTCTCGCCCTGTGACCGTGGCACCGCCAGCCGAAGGTCGGGAGAGGTCGGCCGAGGCGTCCTCCCTCCCCTCCCCCCCATTCCTCCAATCCTCTTCCCACTCCTCCTCCTCCTCCTCCTCCTCCTCCTCCTCCTCCTCCTCCTCCTCCTCCTCGAACCAACAGCGGTCCGTGTTCAGCGCCTCGACTGTACCCCCCCCCCTGCCCCGTGCGGGAGGCGGGCGCGGCCCAGCTGCCGCGAGCTGCGCTGCCCTCGCCAGCCCACGGCGAACCAGACTGCAGGCCCGCACCGGGGACGGAGCGCGCGCTCCCCTGGAGAGGGAGGGCGCGAGGCATCGCTGGCTTGGGCTGTCGTGGGGCCCACTTCAGGCCCTCAGTGGGCCCCAAAAACGGCAGGGCCGTTTTTTATCCGTTTCCGAAAAGGTGTCCCTTGAAAATGGAAACGGCAAAAAAGGCGACCGGAAGCGGCAACAAAAACGGCTCCAAGATTGGAACCGGAGCGGGAACCCGTAAAGAACAGCGACGGAATCGGCAACAACAACGGCGTCGGAACCGGCAAAAAAAACAGCAAAACGGAACCGGTAAAAAAACGGCCCTGTCGTTTCCAGGGCCCACTAAGTTCAGGCCCTCCTGTGCTCCCCAGGGGCCCTCCGGGGCTTCATGGGGCAATCTTGGGGTCCCCTTGGGGCCTCGTGGGGTCCTGTTGGTGTTCTGAAGCTCTTCTCGGAGGGACTTGGGCCATCTCGGGCGCTCCTGGGCCATGTTGGAGGCAGATTTGGCAGTCTGCGAGGCTATCTAGGGCTACCTCGCGGGCGTATCTGGTTCTTTGGGGCTCCTGCGCCCCTCTTGAACTACCAGGGAAGTACCATTCTCGGAGCGATCTGGAGCTGAGAAGCGGAGAGCATCCACATATAAGAAGCCCGGAACGGACTTGAAGAGTTGGGCCTCTCGGGTCACCTGCGCGAATCTATCTTTGAAGGGGCCAAGGGACACACACACACACATAAATACACACAAATCCAAGGATTCCTCATAGTTCCACATATTTTCTGGGTTTTCGTGTTCCCCACCACTTCCCATATTTTCCTGGGGATCGCCGATTAATTGTGTCTGTGTCTTTGTTCAACTCCTGAATCTTGGGGCTTCTTGGAGCCAGACCCGGGGCCAGACTGGGTGGTTTGGGGGTCCCCTGCGGCCGCGTGGGGCACCTCCTGGACTCTCCAGAACTATCTTGGGCACCTGGGCCTAACCCACTGATCACTGCACAAGGCTTGCAGACGTGCTGCAGCGGATTTCTGCGTGAATTTCTGCGTGGACTTTTGCCCGAAACGGCGAGTGAAAAACGAAGTGAATTTCGCGTGGATGTTTTTCGTTTTCATTCCTGGCCAAAACAAATCCGCACGAAATTCACCTCGGAATCCAGGACGAAATTCTCCAGGACACTCCGGGCCCGTTCTATCGTTTTCCGGACGAAATCCGCTCTGCGATGTTGGCGCCATGACACTGGTCCTCCTCACATCCCCTCTCCAACCAATCGCTTCATTCAAACTGACGGATCGCCCGCCACACGCGCTTTCGTCATCTGGCCAGCATCCGGATGGAACGTTTCTTCCCCTCGATAAGGCGCGAATGATCACTGATAACTGGCGTGTCCTGTCTTAGGGTCATCCTGAGACTCTCTTGGAGCTCTCTTGAGCCCTTCTGGGGGACGCTCTTGGGTTCTCTTAGGGCCCTGGGCCTCGTGGAGTCCTTTGAGTGGTCTGCGGGGTGTCTGGGGAAAACCCTTGGGGGCATCTTGGGACATCTTGGAAACGTCTTGGGGCCCTGGAGGACACCTTGGGTATCGAAATCTCCAAGCCCCTTCTTGGAACCATCTGTGGAAAAAAACGGGTTGCACCAAGCATGCACGAACACTTGAATGACTTTGACTCTTGTCTACTCTTGAAAGGCCTGCGCAGAGCCATATTAAGGGCGTTTAGGGTTTCGGGCCACCATGGCGGCATAGCGGGGTCTGCTGGAATGTCTTTGGGACCTGCTTGGCCTTCATGGGCATCGCCTGGGAAACCCCACGAGGCCTTCGTGGAGATCTCTTGGCATCATGTTGGGGTATCTCGGGGTCTCTCCAGGCCCCTGCCGCAGAAAAGGGCCGAACCAAAACGTGTTGTACCCCCTGCGCTTTGGCCAGTCGTGCCCCTCAATCTCCCTGCTCATCCGCTTCGCCCAACTACGGGTTCGCACGCTACGCGCGCCTTCTGTCACACACACACACACACACACACTTTCTGGCGCAAAAACAAAAAGATCTCCTCCTGCTCCTCCTCCACCTCCACCTCCTCCTCCTCCTCCTGCTCCTCCTCCTCCTCCGCGATCGTGCATACCGATACGCTCCATGCAAGGCCCGTGGCGCAGAAGCTACCTCAACTGGACGAATTGTCTGTCTTCTCGTCTTCATTTGACCCTTTCTGGTATGGACAGCGTCAAGCGGAAACCGTGCATCTCTCGAAAAAAAGAATAACAACTCGAATCTGGGGAACTCGAATCTTGCTGGCAAGGCCGTCGGAACAATGACAGGACCTGATCTGAAATTCGACGTGCGCCAGCAGCGGTGGTGCTGCCGATGCCGTACGGTGGCGGTGGCGGCCCGCACACCCTTTCGGGGCCGCCCCTGGCGCTCTGGCGGCGACGCGGTTGCGGACACCTCTCGGGCCGCCCCTGCTGGGCAGCCGCACGCGCTCCCAACAGTAGGAGCCCAACCACAAGAAACCTCCCACAAGAAACCCAACCCTGAGGCCCCAGGTAGAGGCCTCCTAGATGGGGTCCAAGTAGATGGGGTCGGAGACTCTCTCCGCATCGCCGATACATCTGCGATGCATCGGCGATACATCGGCCATGCACTGGCGACGTCGGCGATGCATCGGCGACGTCGGCGTGGAGAAACTTGGGCCCCACATCGAGCCGCATCGCCGATGCATCGGCGACGCATCGGCGACGCATCGACGATGAGGTGCGATCCTCCGACCCCATCTACGTAGGAGGCCTAGACCAGGACGTCCATCGAATTTTGGTGTGGGAACGTCGCGCCTTCCATCGCAACACCGTCGAAACCCAACATACCCAAGGCACCCTTCAGACAAACCGGTGTTTCTTGGCATGGGTCTCCACTGTACCCCTGCAGGTCAGAATTCTGAAGTAGCCAGCCAGGGGTCAGAACCTGAACGATGTCTGCAACGAGGCGAGTCCCAGTGGCGGTGTGCGATGTTCGGCAACTCCGAAGGGCGAGGTTTGCAGAGGGTGTGGTTTGCAACCTGCAACCTGGGGGGTACCCTGGGGGGGGAGGCGGGCGGGTACCTTGATAGAGTCCTCCGCCGAGGAGAGTGTAGCGCCCCCTGGGCCCCAACGGCGCCGATCGCGAACCACACCCCCGCGTAACGGCGTAGCCACACCCTTTGTAGTCGGCGGGGTATTCCCGAGCGCCGATTCGAGCCGCAGGGGCAGGTTTCGCAAGCGGTCGCAGGCTGGCACGCTCGTGGCGGCGTTGAACTCTTTTTGTTTGGGGGCTCCTTGGCGTCCCTGGGAGGCTCCCGGCGAAGGCGTTGGGGCCCACGGAAGGGGGAGGGAGGAGGAGGAAGTGGAGCAGCAGAACGAAGCGAGCCGCATGGCTATCGCGCATACTTGTTGTCCTGTGCTGCTTTTTTCGCGCGCAGCTCCCGACTCCGCCGCGCCTCAGAGCGTCTCGGGCTGCGTCCGTGATCGACGTGATGGTAAGTAGAGCGCCGTGCCCGAGCGGCCCGGCGGGCGCCCGCGCCGAGAGCGAGCGGAAGAAGGGGGCCACGACGCGAGGCTGGGTGGGCGAGCAGCTGCAGGCGCCCCGCGGCCGAGCGGCTGCGCTCGAGGCCGGCCGGTGTCGGGGCCCCCTCCGGGCCACGAGGTCCAAGCGACTGCTGCGCCGGGCGGCCTCCTCCCCTCGCCCCCCCCTCCACGTCCACGACCTCAGGCTCCCTCCTCCACCCACCCCGCCCCGCCGCCCAGCGCCCCCCACCCGCGCGCCTCATTTGTTTTTCGGCGCAGGGCTCTGCCTCGCGACGTTGTAACAAAGCGCTCCTGACAAGCATATCAGGGTGCCGACCACGCCCATTGCTGTGACCTCGTTGCCGAACACTAACACGCTGATCCAGATCAGCAGCGCGCGCTTCAGCGTGTTGACCACCGACACGGTCACCGGCGACAGGTACGACATGACCACGTAGGCCACGACGGACTGCGCGTGGTACAACACGCCGTCGATCCACAGCAGGAACAGGGTTCCGTTGCCTAGCCCGCTGGAAGATAGCTCGCCCTCAGACGCAGGTGTCAAGGACTCGTGGGTCTCGTTGACGTCAATGTCTGCGAGTCCGATGCCGCCGAGGCTCATGGTGGTGCTGCTGGGCAAGGCGGCGCCAGGGCCGCCCTCCCTGAGGAGCAGGAAGATCGGGCCCTGGAGAACCAGCGCCGTCAACGACGTATAAAACTGCAGCTGTGTGGCTGTGTAGTCCTTGGTCAGGAGCCTCTTGCTGAACACGTTCTGCACACACTCGATCACGTTGGTTGCCACGGCCGCCCCGAAGCCGATCACGTTGAACGACAGCTCGGAGTACGAGACCAGGACCAGCCCTCCAGCGACGGGTACCAGGGACAACACGATCTTGGGTGTCGTGGCCTCGCCCAGCATGAGGTAAGCGATGATCACGGTGAAAAACGGCGCAGAGGCCTTTATCGTCTCGGTGAACGACGCCGCCACGTGGTTCAGGCTGACGAGGCCGAGGACAACCGTTGCGAACCGCATAGCGCCAACGAGGCCCATCTCCGCGAGGCTGCGCCTCAGGCGGCTGCGGCCGTGGCCCGCCTTCGCGCCGCCCTCGCAGTGGGCCTCCTCCACGTCACCGCCCTTGTCTGCCGCCAGGCCGCCGCGCCTCGCGACCTCCACAGCGTCTCGTGCACACTTCCCGAAGTCGACGGTCTTCACCGCCCCGTAGATGGCGGTGGATACCATCTGCACCACCGCCAGCGTGTTGGGCCGAATGTGCAGAGCACCCAGGAGGTGCTTGTTCAGCAGGAGGGTGCTGAACGAGGTGAGGTACCACGCCGCGACGAAGAATCCGATTTCGAGCCATCGCTCCCCCATCAAAGCGCACCGCCAGAGGGCGATCCATCCAGGCGCCGCCCGGGCGCCGCGGGTGGTGGTGGGAGAGGGGGGCTCCGCGGCCAGGGCTGCTCTTGATGCAAAAAGGCTACGGACATGGCTAGCGCATGCTCTGTGCCCATTTCTGTTTTTCTTGGTTATCTCTGGCGCCTACCTGTTTGCCTAGCTGCGGTCGCCATGCTTAATTCGAAATGTGCCTGACTAGATATGTGGCTTTTCATGCACCCGCAAAACGCAACAGCCGCGGTGCTCCTTCATGTTTGTCCAGCGCAGAAGGCAGCTAGACGACAAGGAAGACCAGGTGTAGGCCGAGAAAGGATATGATGACGATAATGATGAGGAGGGGGAGTGGGAGGAGCGGAACAGGAGGAGGATGGAGTATGAGGAGGAGGATGAGGAGGAAGGAGGAGGAGGAGGATGCAAGGAGGAGGAGGAGGAGAAAAAGCAAGGAATGAAGAGGAGGAGCCAGGCTTCTGACAGCCCCGCGCACCGACTTTGTAAGTCAGCGTGGCATTCCTCTTCCCGTTGGTGGGCGGGAGGGTGCTCGAGTAGCCTGGCAATGTCGGCGCGCCCAAGGGGGCGTCGCGGCAATCGGCATGGAACGGACAATACACTCAGGAAGGCAGCCGTCATGACAGATTAGCTTCACACGTCAACGCGATAGGCTTATGTGCTCCTGCATGGGCCCCATGGGCTTTCCGAAAAGTGGGCGCAACTCCCCAATCTTGAGCACCCTGAGTCATATTCTCCAAAGCCGCGTTGGGTTCCCACCCAATTTCACTGAAAATCAACTGCGCGGTGTGCTGCGTCGCGAGGCCTAACGGACATCCGCCCCACGCCTGGGTAACATGCATTGAAACCGTCACGCGCTCCACACATGCTCCGGAACGTGGGAAGTATCGTCAGTGGTAATGCAATGCGCGCAGACAGGATGGTGAACGTGCTGGTGAGCATGATGCCCATGAGTGGCTGTGTTGACCTCTCCACCACCACCAACGTATATGTAAGAACACATGTATGCATGACTGTCTATATCTATGATATGCGTATACCGATCCACAGATGTGATCATAAAAAATACCAGTGCCTGCCAGTCACCTTTGCCAATGCCATGAGGCTGCGAAGACTAGGTTTCGGCAATTGTGCAACTGAGTCTTCACGCGCAAAACGAGACTCATCGCATTCTGTGTAACACCTCAACTTATTAACCGTGATGTGCCAAACACCTGCTCTCAGGCTGCACAACTGTTCAGACATGTACGAAGGGATTGCGCCTTCCAAGATCTCGCCCATACCAAAGCAACAAACCTGGATCCGCGAGGCCATCATCGCTGGTCAAACATAACAGACCGGTGCTCCCGAGGCCAGGATCCATGTGCAAACAACTGCGGGCCGCCCCCCGGCCCGCCCCCCCCCCGAGACCACGATCCCTTTATAAAACGGGTGAGTCCGTGCTCCCGAAGCCACGATTCCCAATACAGAAGACGGTGGGTACGCACTCCCGCGGCCACAACCCCGAGGGAAAGACAGTGGACCCGCCCTTCGAACTCGCCAGCGCCCCGGCCTTCCAACCAGCAACCACGCCTGCGAGCTACCCCATTAGCCAACCAACTGGCGAACCTGCCAGCCGTCCATCCAGACAGCCAGCCAACCAGCCGAGTGGTCAGCTTGCCCGTCAATGAGCCAATCAACGAAGTAACCCAGGCGACCAAGCCACGCAGGCAAACAGGAGGGGAGGGGGCAGACGACGACGCTCCTCACGTGTCCGCCACAGTGCCCCGAGGCACAACGTGGAGGGTCCCCCGGTCCCCTCGAGACATTCTTCAAAACGCCACAGCCCCACGTTCCGGGCGCTCTCGAGCGCTTCCGGGGATTCCTGCGTGTCCGCGCGTGCTGTCGCATGACGTTTCCAGAGCCAAGAGGGCCCCAAGACAGGCCAACAGGGCCTCAAGAGGCTCCCAAGAGGGCCCCGAAACGGCCCAAGAGCTGTCCTAGACGCCTCAGAAAGTCTCAAGACGGCCCAAGAGGCCCCCCGGTCGCCTCAAGAGGGCTCCAAGAGCCACCCTAAGAGAGCCCCAAGAGGCGCAATACATTGACTGTACATGCGGTTTTCAATGATTTCAGCGTCGTTCTGGCCTTTTCGGGCGTCCGACGCCCCAAGACGACCTCAGAAGCCCCACAAAGGCTTCCACGAAGCCCGCAAGACTGCTCAAGCCCCCGATACGGCCCCCAGAAGGCCCGAGGTGGGAAATTCGAACCGAAATGTCGACCACTCCGCTCTAAGATGACCCAAAGATGCCCTCAAGAGGCCTCCCAAAGGCCTCAAGACGCCCCTCTAAGAGGCTTCTGAGAGGCATCCCAATATATACCCACACTCATCAGATTTGCCTCTGATCTGCAAAAGCGAGGTGGCGGGGTGGGCCGACCGACGGCCGCTATGCATGTCTGCATCTGTATGTGTACGTGTATCTGGACATGCATGTGCAGCTGTATTAGCATATCCGCCACCGTGCCGCCGGACACGGAGTGCGCGTGTCCGCAGGTCCTTCGCCCAATCCACTGAGCCTCAATCCTCGATCCTAGGGTTTCAAGGCGCGGGTCCCGTATTCATAAATCTCCTTCGGCTCGGCTATGGATGTCTGTATCTGTATGTCTACGTGTATCTGGACATGCATGTGCAGTTGTATTAGCATATCCGCCACCGTGCCGCTGGACACGGAGTGCGCGTGTCCGCAGGTCCTTCGCCCAATCCGCTGAGCCTCAGCCCTCGATCCTAAGCAAGGGCTCCCAACCTCGCGCCTCGCGCTGCGCGAAGCGCGACGTGCGAATCACTTCGCGCTCTCGCGCCACCCCCCCAAAGGGAGAAAAGGAAGATGAGAAGGCATCGGAGCCGAAGCGCGAAGCGCGAAGAATTTCGCGCCCTCGAGGGCGCCCTTGCTAAGGGTCTCAAGGCCCGGGCCCCGTCTTCGCAGCTCTCCTCCGGCTCGGCGCGTGCCTTCCTGGGGTTCCCCGCGCGGCTCGTCGCAGGATTTCGTCGGGGCCCGAGAGGGCCCCAGGACGGGCAGAGAGGGGCCCAGGAGGGCTGTTGAGTGCCATCTTGCCAGATGCTGTCGGTTTTCTTAACTTAACTCGAGCTGTAGATGAGATACAGAGCTGTTCGGCACAGCAATCGAAAGAAAATCAGCAGCAGCGCTAGTATATAGAGTATCTAGATGCCTGAGATCGGTCTGCTACCAGAGCTGGGACCAAACAGCTATTCGTACGCGGCCCCGAAGACGGTCCCGGAGAGCCCCGAGTCGCCGATCGATCGCTCTGAGACGCGTCCAAGACGCCCCAGGAGGCCTCCACGAGGCCTCCCATGAGGGCCCCAAGAGGCCCCAATCATTGATGTTTCTGTGGCCTTTGAAAGTTGTTGGTGTTCTCGCCGTTTCGGCTGCACGACGCCCCCTGACGGCCCCAGAGGCCCCCAAGATCTCCCCAAGAAGGCCCAAGGGGCCTCCAAGAGGGCCCTAAAACTGCCCGAGAGGGCCCCAAGACGGCCCCAAAAGGCGCCAAGGACGGCCCCAAGAGGCCTCAAAGACGGCTCCAAGGAGGGGGCCCAGACGGAGTGACCCGAGCGGACGTGTGGAACCCTCGGCCCCGAGGGGCCCCCCGCCCAAGAGGCCCCAAGGAGGCCCCCAGAGACGACCCCGAGAGGCTCCCAATAGTTACCAGCCTCGAACTCATCCCTATGCCTAAAATTGACACGCCAAAAGGCGATAACAATCTTAGGGATGCGCCCTCAAAAAATGATGGAATCCCCAAGATTGGCATCGTGATGAGGAGATGCCCAGCATAGGGATAGGGATATGGTCCAGGCTGGTGAAAGAGGCCCCAAAACTGCCCCCAAGAGGCTCCCGAGAGCGCCCCGAAGACGCTCCAAGAAACATCCCCTGAGAACTCTGACCCACAAGCCAGGCACAGTGGCGGGATGGCCCGAATGCAGTTAGCTACGCGAATACATATTCTAGAACCACGCGCACGCTACGCGCGCGCTTGGGTTCTAGTTGACTCAGGAATCGCAGCAAAAAGATGTGAACCCAACATGTCAGAAAAGAGAGGCCCCAGATACCAGAAGATACGACTTGGCAAATATACTCCTCCTCGCCGTGTCTTCCTCGGACTGGCCCTCAATGTCATGTACATGAAGGGCTCTCTCAAGGGCAACACAAGAAAATGCAGGAGAACTTCCTGCTCCGATGACCGGCGACGACACTCAGGTTCCCGCCTGAATTGAGCGCCCGTGTGGGAGCCCTCGTGGCGGCCTCTGTAAGCTCCTTTCGGGGTGTCGGGGCTCATTTGAAATACTGGAGAACCTTCTGCCCCGATGAGAGGCGACGAGAATCACGTTCCCAGAAGGCTCTCCAGAGCATGATGGTTGCGGCCGTGTGGGGGCCGTCGTGGAGGCCTCTGTCGGGCCTGGTCGCGTTACCGAGGCTCATTTGGGAGGCCTTTGTGGCTCCTCGGCTGCGTGCAGAACACCTTTGGAGTGCCGAGGCTCGAAGCAGGCCTTCTTGCGGTGTGCGGGGGCTCGTGGATGCATCGTGGGCCGTCCCCGTGCGTCAGGAAGCGGAGCAGACGACCAATTCCAAAGCATTGAAAACTGCAGGAAACCACACCACCGATTTCTCCTCATTGCGGCTCTCTCGAAGGGCAGTTTGGAGCCTCCTGGGGCGTCTTGAATGCCTCATGGGCAGCATTGAAGCTTTGGTGGGCGTGCTGGGGCCGTTTTAGAACCCTACGAGGCTCATTCGGAGAGCCGCCTCAAGCCCTCCTGGGCCATCTTGGGCGCCTCTTGGGCCAGTTTGGCGCAGCCTTGGGGCACGTCAGGGCCCTCGTGCACGCCTACTGTGCCGTCTCCGAGCGTCGGGAAGCGGAGCAAGCGACCACGCGGAAATCAATGAAAACCAATGGAGGATCAGCGATGTGTGCCTATTAGGGATGTTTCGGAAAGCAGCTGACACTCCTCTGCGGCCGTCTTGGACGCCTCGTGGGCAGCACCGGAGCGCGATGGTGGGCGTGCTGGACCGTTTTGGGGCCCTGTGGGCCTCCTGTAGGGCCCTTGTGGCGTGTCCAAGCTCGTTGGGGGAGCCACCTGGAGCCTGCTGGGCGATTCTGGGCACCTAG